CGCTTGATGTCTACGATTCCACGAGGCAGACGCGCCCTTTCTCGCGCTCCTGGGCTTCGACGACGCCAGCGACCGACGACGACGACGACGACGAAAACGAAAACGAAAACGACGACATCGACGACGACATCGACGACAACGACGAAGATGTTCGCTTTAATTGTTGGGTCCAGAACCGATCAGGGTTCACGAATTTTGGGCAGACGCGCCCTCCTACGTCCACGGGCGTCGACGACGACCACGACCACGATCACGATGACGACCACGACCACGACCACGACCACGATCACGACCACGACCACGACGACGACGAAAACCACGACCACGACCACGACCACGATCACGATCACGACCCTGACAACGACGACGATAACGACGACGGCGACGACGACGACGACGACGACGGTGACCGCGACCACGACGACGAAAATGACGACGACGACGACGTCAACGACGACAACGAGGACGAGGAGGAGGAATAAGAAGAAGAAGAAGAAGAAGAGGAGGCGGAGGACCATAGGAGAGGAGGCGGAGGGGGCTCTGTGGTAGAATTTTCGGAGGAGGATGGTGAGGAAGTGCGCCACCGTGCCGTCGATGATGCCTGGCGCTTCCGAGGTTCGGGCCTGGCGTTCAACGGTTCAGGTATGTCGGAATCTGGAACGTATACATGACCAGTGGCGGGCTGTTTAGTCCCAGGACTTTCTAGGGTCGGGGAAGAGGTCGGAGTGGCATGGCGTACACTTGTTTATCCGTTTCCCGGGGGAACTTCGCAAAATGCATACATTTGGGTCACACGTGTACACCAGGATCCGCTTTCCTGTGCAAGTTTCAGTGAAGGGCCGGAAAAAGCGTCGGTGTACATATATAGAGTTCGGTTCCCTAGTATGGGCTTCTCTGTCCAGGGCTGGAGCTTTCCATTTCCAAGTTTGGGGCTTGCGCTTCTCGTTCTCCGTTTTCCGGTGTACGACCCGACATTCCCAGGGTTGCGATGCCGACCCGACTCGGGAACCTTCGGAACGCTCTCGGCGAGGCGCAGTTGCTGGAGCGCATCCCGAAGCTGCCAAACCGCCGAGAACAGACGAACACGTCCGAAAACCAATCTTGAGCCCTTCCAGCCCTAACATGCCCCCCACATAACTACACACACGCACACACACACACACACACACACACACACACACACACCAGGGTCCATTTCGATCCGATGGATCTGACTCGAGAACAATTCTGGCCGGGCCGATCATATTGCTTTCCGATATTCCGACGATTTGGTGCGGCCCGACTTTTGCGTGGCGCCGTTGTGCATCTTGGCGCAGCCGATCCGGTTCGATTCCGACTCCGTGCCGACGAAGCCCGATCCGAAGCACATGTCGATTCGATCCGACTCGCCGATTCGATGCCGACTGTTCCCCCCGGGGATGGGCCCCCGAGAGGCCCAAGAAGTGCCCAGCACGCCCCGCAGCACCTCCCTCCGATCCTCCACCCCAGGATCGGCGGCTCGAAGATGGAGGCGCGAGAGACGGGGCCCCGTCAATCAAGCAGTGGCGAAGCGTCCTGGCGCTCCTATAGGCCTACCAAACAATTGTCCAAGAACCTTTTGTGGTTTCCACAACATGTTCTTAGAACATTGGCTTTATGATCTAAGTACATTGTTTTTGTTATAAGAACAGGTTTGGGTTCTAAAAACATGTCGTGGTAGGCCTACAGGAATGCCGGGATGGTCGGTCCCTGCTCAAGTCAACGCCCTCCCTCGACGGCTCTGCCAACTTCGAAGCGGACCTACGGCCCTCCCATCACTGGAGAAGCCGCACAGCTCCCTGCCAGCTCTGAGCACGGGCCTGCGCCGATGCGCTTTTTGGCGCCCGCGGGGTCAACGGGGCCCCGAGGACCTCGCCCTCGGGGCCCCGTTTGAGCGACCCGCCGTCGTTCACCGAAGGCTGCGCTGAGCTGGCTGTAGCGGAACGAAACAAAAAACAAGGAACATAAAACAACACAAAAAAACACAAAATCGGGGCACAGACAAAACTCAAAAGAAACACAACACCACACACACACACAAAAAAAAGCATAACAACACAAACAAACAAAAACATCGGGGCCCCGAGGACAGAAAAGGGATCCTCAGCGGAGCTTTCCCGGCGTGAGGCCCCGCCGTGCCCGCGCGGGGCGGCACCCTTCTCCCCCCGGGGGGGCTGCCCGGGCCGCGCCGCGGCCGCGCGGTGGCGCGGGGGGGGGGGGGGCGGCGCTCGGGCGCGCAGCTCTCTGGCTCCTCCCCTCCGTGTGCGCAGTCAGCCCGCACGGCAAGGACGGGCAACCTTCCCAAGGGTACCTATCGTCGGAAATTGGAACATATACATTACCAGTGGCGGGCTGTTTTTCAACCCCAGGTTTTTGTTGAGGGTCGAGGACGACGCTGGGGTGGTGTGGTGTATACTTTTTTCCCCGACGTCCCGGGTCAAACGACGAAAAATGTATACACCAGGATTCCATATGCACCAGAATCCGCGTTCCTGGCGAATTTCGGCGCAGGGTCGGGAAAAGCGTCGGTGTATATAGAGTTCGATTCCCTACATCAGTCGTTGAGAGTGGGTATTTCAGGACTCCCAGATTCCACTCTACCTTAAGCGTCTTCCGATTTCAATGATCGAATCGAGTGGCTTCACCTTTTCCGTCCTCCTCAGGGGGCGGACGGAACCCAATTTGCTTTCAACGCCTTTCTACGATATGTTTCTACCTACTTCTTCCGACCGATGGGTACCCTTGCATCCTTGCCTCCTCGACCCATCCTCGGCCGCTTTCGCTGGCCGCGCCCCGCTCGACAAGCTTCGAAACGGCATTCCAAGGCCCTTGCATCCTTCTCGTGCGTCCTTGTGATGCGGGTCGACTGTAGCCCGGATCTTCGACGAGCCCAGCGGCCAGGGCGCCGACGACGGGGGCACAGCAAATGGGGGCAGGGAGAACGCCGATTTCCTCGTTTGGCTATTCTACGCCTCCCGGATGGAGTCCGAGTACATGGGGTCGGAGGGTCGCGCCGCATCGCTGATGCATCGCCGATGCGACTCGATGTGGAGCCCGGTTTTCCACACGTCGACGTCGCCGATGCACCGCCGATACATCGGCGGTGCATTGGCGGTGCGGCGCGATTCTTCGACCCCATCAAGTCTGATCCCATCTAGGAGGCCTCTCGCTATGTCCCTGTTTAGGGGGCCCTGGGCTCCGTGATCAGACTGGGGCATAGTACACGGGAGCTTTCGTGGAAAAGCCTCGGCCCCCGTTGAGCCTTGCCCCCGTTTTTGCCGGGGCCCCGACGGGGGGAGGGCGAGGGAGCAGGCCTCTTCAGAGGGCTTGCGGGCCTTCTCAGGAGCCCCCGGGGTCTTCTGAGGGCGTCCCCATCTTCGGAGATGGCGCTAAGTCGGGCCTGTCCCTCGACAGGGGGAATATTCAAAAATAGTAAAAAAAAATCTGGGGACTATTTTTTGTATTTTGGCATATTTTTGAGTATTTATTTTTTTCGTCGAAAATCCCCTGTGGGGGGACACGCCCGACTTCAAGATGGCGCGAGGGTTCTCCGAGGCCCCGCCGTCTTCCTGGAAGGCCTGCCCCCTTTTTCCTTTTCCCCCTGGCGTTCGCCGCCAAGGGGAGGGGGGGAGCGCCAGGAAGCGAACGTCGGGGGCGTCCGAGAGCACGCGGTGGCGAAGCGTCCTGACTCACAAAAAGGGCCCACCAGAGACTGTTCTGAGGACCTTGTGCGGTTTGCGCGGACTGTTCCTAGAACGTGTCGGGCTGAGGCAAGGTTGCTTGTTCCATCGCCTCCATGTTCCAGCAGCATTCCCTTCTGCTGTCGGAACATTCTGTATGGTCTACGAACATTGCGTGGATGGCCTATACGAATATCCGGACGGTCGGCCCCTGCTCAACAAGAGGAAGAGGACTAGGGGGGGGGGATATCGTGGCTGGGGGCCATGATGTCTCCCAGATTCAGCGGCCTCTTCTGCCTCTTTTCTTTGTGGCCCCCCTTGTCCGTGCACCTGCCTCGGGCCATGCTTTGCGAGCCTCCTCTTTGGACGCCCCTCTCTTGGACGCCCCCGATGGGTCATGGTGAGGCCGCCATGAATCGACTAGACGTAAGAGTGACGTTTCGCAGGAGTGACCTTTGGTGCGGGCACAGATGGGCCCCCAGATGGCAGAAAACGAAGCAGTAGCAGCTGCTTGCGCTCCCAGGTTTGGTCCCCCCGCGGCCCCCAAAAAGCCGCGCACCAAAGGTCACTCTTATCCCTCTTGGACGCCCCCGAGGGGTCGTGGTGAGGCCGCCATGAAGCAGACGGGTCCTGAGGGGTCTGGCTGCCTAGGGCCATGATTTGCGAGACTCCTCCTTGGACGCCCCCCTCTTGGACGCCCCCGATGGGTCGTAGTGGGGCCGCCGTGGAGCAGACGGGTCCCGAGGGGTCTGGGAACGGGCCCAGAATTTGTGTCAATCTCTCTCGGGCCCTGGGGCCCTCCACGGCCCCTCAGAACCCTACACGCCGGTCGTTGAACGTAGGTATCTTTGGATGCCCAAATCCCAATCTACTTCAAGCGCCGTCCTACTTCAAGAATCGGCATGATGTTGCTGTGTTTTGTTATTCTCTGGGAGGGCCTGGACCCTACCCACTATATCCGCCTTCCTACTTCATGTTTCTACCTACTTCTTCCGACCGGCGCGTAACCAACAAAAACTTGGAAAGCCAGCCCTTGGGAAAAGCTCCGGGGCCCAGCCAGCCCTTGGGAAAAGCTCCGGGGCCCAGGGCCCGTGTCTGTCAGGACCCGTTTCTCCCATGTCAAAGGTCAGTTGCCTGGAACAGATCCTTATCCTTAAGATTAGTATCACCCTATCTCCGTGCCGATCTTAAGGATTCCCTTTGCTTCTGAGAGCGCATCCCTAATATTGCAATCGCCTTGGTCTTATCGATCCTGGGGATAGGGAGAAGCTCGAAGCTGGTTAAATGAGGGGGAGGGGGCAGGAGCGCTCCGCACGAACGCCGCGGCAGCCCACGCGGCGCTCAAGATAAACGTCAAGTCGCCCGCGGAGGAGCCTCCTCCGGCGCCATGTTCATCGCCGTTCTCGTCCGCGTCGTGGGCCCGTCCTCCCCCCCAGGCGTCCCAAGGTCTCCGACGATAGGATTGCGTCAGTCCGGGCGCTGCTCCCCAACGTCGCCCCCTCGGGTCCGTTTTCGGGCCCTGGGGCCATCAAGTATGGATCCGGGACGAAAACCCCGCCTCGGGAAAGGGATCGGGACCTGGGGTCACGCATTGAACAGGATCCCTTCGGACGTATATGTCCTCCATCATCGTCCTCCCCGCTTCCTGCTCCCTCTGCTGCTGCTGCTGCTGTTCCTCCTCGTCCTCCTCCTCCGCTAGGAGACGGCGATGCCGACGTCGTGCGCACGGCCCTTCGTGGCGCCTTTTGGGGTGCCCGGGCGACGATGGGGTCAAAGCCGCGACGTACCAGGCTCATGCACAGATTGCGGGCCACGGGTTCGATTCGATCGAAATGGGTACGGAAAGAACGGGGACGAAGTCCGACAGCGTCACTTGTCCATGTTGAACAGCGCCTGCCGTCTGTATCGCCGCTGACGTGGTCCACTCGAGACACAAGGGCGCCTGCCCAACAGTGGCCGCTGTTGGTTTTGGACAGCGTGCGCTGATGGCATCGTGCCAATGGTTTCCGTACCCATCTCGGGTGTCCCAAAGGGCGTGCGCGAGTTTCTCGGGGTGCGGGTTGGGCTGCAGAGCCCAGGGATTTTCGCTCATGTGGCAGCCCCGAGCAACTCCAGCCGAGGTCAAAAACCGCTTGAAGAAGTGGCCATTGAGCTTGGTTCAGCACTGCTGGTTGTCGTTGGGTGCGTCGAAACGCATCAGGAAGTTGTCAGCAACCCCGATGTGTCGAATGCATTTGCGTGCCGCTTGCGGTTCAACGAAAGCGTCGCCGATCTTGTATCGAATTTGGTCGGCGCGGACAATGGGAATGCTGCATCGATCTTTGCCACCGATCACAAAATGTTGTATCATTATGTCGAGCCGTGAAATGTTGTCCAAGAGTTTCTTGCAGATGGTGAGCATCTGTTTGGCCTTCTTGCACTTGTCATCGGCACTAGCGTTCCGGTAAGATTCAGTGGGGAGCGCCTCAAGCTTCGTCACAGTTGAGAAGCATCAGCGGGCACGTTCTGGCCGCCCGACGGGTTATCTCAGGCGTATAGCATTTCTCCGCCTCTTTTGTGATGAATGCCACGATGCGATGGAGTGGTCGAAAAAGAGAGTCGCCGACCGAACGCCGCGCATCTTTCGCATGACGACGTAGGCGTATCCGAGAGGCTTCAACAGTTTGGTCCAGGCGGCGATGTTTACACCTCGGGCCGTGCCGCACTGGGGCTGCCACGCCCTCTGGAAATCGTGATGTCCTGCTGGTAGGTGTCCATTTGGGTGAGGATTTGCACCCAGTTATCAGCGAGGGTCTCAGCCATCGCAGAAGTTGTATCGCACCACATCCTCAGTGCCATTCGGGTCGAGGGCCGCGAAGCGCCTGACAGGAGCTGCAACAATTCATGCAGACCTCTCTCCCGTAACGGGGCGGACATTGCAGGGTCCCACGCTCGAAGTAACGTTGTCTCTTTCACTGTGTTTGCAGTTGCTGTGGGATGTGTGTGTGTGTGTGCCTTGTGAGCGTTCTTGCTCCCCCCCAAATTAACTATCGTTGCCTGCCCCCCCCGCGTAACGTTAACGATCGTATGGGGGGGGGCCTGGACCCCCTGTCTACATGCTGCGGGGCGGATCCTCCGCAGGCATGGCGATGTGCTCACAGGCATGTCGTGGTGCTGAGAGGCATGCGTTGTTGCTCACAAGCCATTTGTGGCGCTCGCAGGCTCCCCGCCTGTTGCGGCGCACAACTCACAGGCATGGCGTGGTGCCGAAAAGCATGTTTCGGTGCTCACATGCGTGTTGTGGCGCTTGCAGGCTCTTGCGGTGCGCATAGCTCAGGCGGACTCTCTGCTTAGGTGCCCTACTCGGAGGGCGGCGGGTCGGGGGACCGATGTCGAGCGGCTTTCGGCTAGGCGGGAGGTTCGCCGTTGTCTGTGGGGTGTCGGCGCTGCCGCCGGCACCCCTTCGCTGGTCGCCGCCAGGGCCGCCGCCGCCGCAGTCGTCGCCCTCGTCGTTCGCAGTCGTTCGTCGTCGTCGTCGCGGTCGCCGCCGCCGCCGCCGCCGCCGCCGTCGTCGCCGTGGTCGTGGTCGTCGTCGTCGTCGTCGTGGTCGTCGTCGTCGTCGTCGTCGTCGCCGCCGCCGTCGTCGTCGTCGTCGTCGTCGTCGTCGTCGTCGTCGTCGTCGTCGTCGTCGTCGTCGTCGTCAGGCGGCGGAGGCGACGGGGCGAGGAAGAGACGGCGAGGGAGGAGAGGGAGGAGGGGGTGCAGGAGGAGGTGGAGGAGGAGGCGGTGGTGAATTAGGGGAACAAAAAGTGGCATAAACATAAAGAATCGGAGGTCCGCGCGGATTTCTCGGATCGGCGCTGGGGCCCCCTGGCGGCGCCTGCGGCGCCGCCCCTGGTGCGCTCCGCGCGCAGGGCCCCGGAGCCATTAAGGTCTGCCTTAGGGTTAATGGTCAATGAACCAGGTCTGCCGTGGTTGGTGTTTTTTACGGGTGACGGCAATTCCGGTTAGTGGAACGGGGGGGCGTCCCCCAATGCACATCGTTGAACCAGGTCCGATTAAACCCAGTTCTGCCAACGCCCGACTTGGTTGATCTTGGCCTCGTTCTCCTCCGTCCGTCCATGGGCTCAGCGCCAGCGCGTCGAACATGAGGCGGCGGCGTGACTTTTGTATTCTCCCAGACGCCCAGCCTGATCTTTCACGCACGGACGGAGGACCAGGCCCTGCCCAGGGGTGAAGGTGGACCCGTGGCTGCACAGGTGGAGCAGAGCGACTCCACCGAGCAAGCGACTGCGCGGGACTTCCATTCTGCCCAGAGATGGAGCAGATGGGAGGAGGCGACCCGTGACCCCGGCATGCTGCGGACGGGGAGCCTCAGCGGCATGGCCCATGGTCGATGCCGACAGAGGCGCGGTGTCTGCTCGCCTCCTGCCGCGAACAGAAGCGACGAGGATCCGAGCGCGCACCGGTGGCGTGCCCAGCACACCTGAAGAGTTCTTGTTGGCACAATTAGCAGAAACACGGCAGCGCCGACGACGGCATGCAAGGTGGAACCTGTCTCAGACCCATGAGGTTCGTAAGAAGAACAGCAAGCCGAGCATGCGTGGCACGCGACGTCTCCGTGGACTATACAGCTCCGGCAAGGCTCGGTTCGGCACTCGACGGTTTCGTGATGATTTGCCTCTCCCGCGCGAAGATCCTAGCTATGTGAAGGGTCGGTCACGGGTAGGTGCACCGGCGGTTGGCAATATTTGAAACAGAGGCTGCGCGATGCCACATCGCCACCATGCACGACGCGACGAACGCGCTCGCCAGCATCAACCACCGGCATCTGGGCAGCACCATGCACCCGATGGAACGCCCGGAAGACACGCGCATTATGTTGGCCTGGCGCCGTCGGACGGCGCGCGGCGCGAACGCGCGCAACGGCGACTGCACTTCCCAGAGCCACGCCGGTTGCTTCACGGGCGAATCTGACGCGGCCAGCGCAGGCAGACGGCGATCCAGCGCGCAAGAGGCCTGCGTGCAGAGCCAGGGGGGGGGAGGGCGCCAGCGTCGGCGGCCAGCAGGAGCAAAAGACTGCCCAGAGAAGAAGGACCTACATATAGCCGACGCGATCGAGCTCGACGGCGACCTGATCGAGGTCCAAACCATGCAGAAGTGTTTCCATGATGAAGCTCATCCTCAGCATAGCGCAGCGACAGAGGCCGCCCAAGTCGATAGAGCTGAAGACGTTCTTGATGTCGTCGGACATGCAGCCCGCGGTGAATGCGAAGGCTCGCACCGCGGCGTAGGCCCACGCTGCCGAGGCGCACCAGGCGTCTTTACCCATTGCCGAGAAGATCAGGGAGATTGGTACCATTTCCGTGGCGTGCTACGCGGGCGCGCTCGAGGTGCTGATCGCGGACGGCAACTCGCTGGGCTGCGCCAGCCAGCAGCAGCTCGAGGGGCTGAGCAAGCAGCAGAACGCCCTTGTGGCCTACGGTATGGGAGAGGCGGCGCCGTTGGCCGTTGGCGAAGATTTCGCACTGTCACGAGGAGGGCAAGGTGAAGCTCGTGCTGCCCTTCAGCTCCCGCCTCGACATGGCGCCAATGCTGGCGTCGCTGATCCAGGTCGGAGCAGACTACAAGAAAGGGGCGGCCCAACTGGGCCACATGGAGCGTCTGAGTCACACGGGGCTTCACGATCTCGAGAGTTGGGCGCAAGATTGACTGAGCCGCCAGGTTTGGAAATAACAGGATTGAGAAGCGCGTGGGGAGCCTCAGCCAAGCATCTAGCAAGCCGATCCTTGAAATTCCTACGTCTCCCCCTCTCGAGCCTCCATTTTCCTCGCCTCACCCCACCTCGTCTCTCCCCCAAAGCAGCGCTAGACAAATTGTCCAGTGCTTTCCTCCCCTTCTGGGCCTTCGCCGTTTGTTCCCACACTCCGACTCCTATTCGATCTGAGTTGTTGCTCCAGTCTGTTTCTAAAGGCCGAGCGTTGGGTGGAATGCCCCGCGCGTGCCGCACTGCGAGCGCAGGCCCAGCGGATAGCAAGCGCGTGTAGTTCCCTGATGCTCCAAACGGCTCCACCCAGCTCCGCGTTCACACGGAGCCCACTTTCCCAGTAGTATTCCGCGGAGGACGCGGGCTGGTGGAGGGAGGAGCCCGACAGTCCTCCCAGGGGTGTCTGCACGGCGGAGTGGTGCCGACATGGGTGCCGCTCTGCGTTTTTGTCGGGTGCACCGCGGCAGCGGCAGGGGTAGGCTCTGCGGTGGACGGCGCTGGGCCACGCATCGCGGTTTGACGCTGGGGTCTGACCCAGATTCTAGGGGGCCCCGCAGGATGGGAAACATGCGTGCCCCCGATGAGGTTCAGTATCGCATGATCATGTACCATCATAGTCGTCATCATCAGTTTCCGTGCAATCACCCAGTGCCCTGTGCTCTTCATTTGCATTTTCACTATTATCCGTAACGTCCTCTTCGAACTCTTTGTGCTTGCCTATCATCATCCATGTCCTGGATTCCGCGCCCAGTTCGACTTCGACATGTTGCCATCATCAGCGCCATCAGTATTATTCCCATCCGCGTCTACCTCCCATGCCTGCATCTGCTTCTGCTCCCCTCCGAGGAGATCTTGCGCATCTGCCCCGGCAATGACAGGAGGGGCATCCCGCTTGCCGACATCGGCCAACGGCCGGCCCCAAAGTCGCGGCCGCCGGGCCCGTCCTCACATCCGTATTCAGCCTTCCATCTTCGTTTCCGCCATTCTCGTCCTCCGTCCTCGTCATGCATGCCTATCTCGTCCGTTCTCATCCTCCGGTTTCTCAGGTCCGCACTTGCAGTCCTGCTGGCGCGCGAACAGCGCCCCTTGTCCTGCGTCATCCCTCCTGTTCCTGGTGCTGCGCAGCTTTCCCCCTTTTTCTTCCCCCCACCTCCATTCCCTCCCATCCTCTCCCACCCCACTTCGTCCCCTCCCATCTCGTTTCCTGGGGCCGCTTAGCGCCAGAGCCGTGGGCGAAGAAGGCTGCGCGTTGGCTGTCCACACTTTGCGGTCCTGGCGGATGCCGGACGTGGCGAGTTGGCGCAGCAGCCACACGTCGAAGGGCGGTATTAAGTCAGCGCCGTCTTGAGCCGAAGAGCACTTACCGCCCCGACAAGGAATATGACGAAACGCAGTGCTGCGGCCAATTTTGCCGAGAAGTCTCGTCGCAATTCCAGGCTCAGAGATGCTGCGCTCGAGGGGTCACCGCCACCAGCGGGCCCCCTCCAGAGAGGAGGTTTGCGATGCTGCCGCCCCGAGCTGGAGATTGGAGATGCCTGGAGCGGGACGCCGCGAAACGGAGGGACCACATAACTCAGGGTGCTACTCCTCCTCCTCCTCCTCCTCCTCCTCCTCCTCCTCCTCCTCCTCTTCATCCTCCTTCTCCTCCCCCTCCTCCTCCTCCTCCTCCTCCTCCTCCTCCTCCTCCTCCTCCTCAGGAGGCTGCTCCTGTCGAGGGCCTGCCGAGGGATTTCGCCCCTCTTGGTGTAATCCATGAGCTCTTCCTCTGCTGGCCGCTGCCAGCGATTTCGTCTTTTGAGGAGGGGGGCCCTGCCGCGGGGTAGCGGTGTGCCGCCTGTGCAAAGCCGCGCCGCTACTTGATCAGTCACGTGACGGGCACCAGGACGACATCCCCTGACTCCGCACGATGGTGGGCGCGGTGCCGATGTTCGTTGCTCCTAAGGTGCCCTGGGCAGCTTGGGGGTACCAGGAAGAATAACAGCCCATATTGGACAGGCCCTGTCGGCGACAGGGTCTGCGTTCGGGGGTTGGCAGAGCCCCACCCTGACAAATCGACTAGCAGATTGCCGCCCTCCAGTTCGCGGTCACATTTCCAGAGGGCCTGATTACGCTGGGTATTGCCTTGGGAGGTTGCAACAAACAGGTGTTTGTTGACGGGCTTGTTGTTCCACCCCCGATGTGTGAAAGTACAATCGGCATCTTCGTTGGCGACCCGATCGAGGGTCACGAAGAAATGGCACGTACGCTACGGGTCGTATTGACCTCTGCGCGCTCAGCAGCGACATCTACGACGGCTACGAGGACCTACCCCAAGACACAGCTTCAGCTTGCAGATCAGAAGGAGGCCGATGTAAAGATCTTGCTTCACCGCGGCATCGAGCTACGCCTCATCATCTTCTTCAGACGTTGCCATCACACTACGCACATCAAGACCCCCGGAGACGTCAATATTGGCCAGGTGAAGAACACCATGCGGTGAGGATTTCATTGCACCAGCCCCAAGCATAGATAGCAGGCAAACGCGACAACGTTGGCAAACAAGTCAATCAACATACATCGGATGTGCCAATGCGCCCATGGGCACCTAGCACAATCACACGGCATTGTTGGGGATCTACCGATCGTGAGTATGGGCGAGTGGCTGCGGCTGGTTAGCTATGACACCATAAAAAACCGCAAGATCAGGCCGCATGTCAGGACCAGCTTGATGATCCTATGAGGTTGCAATGGAGACATCCCGTATGGAAGCCAGCTGCCGATTGATTGATATTTCCCCCAGTGCATTTGGGCCTATTCGTACGCGTTCTGAGCCGACGTCAACCCCCGATAATATGTTCCCGCCGCCATCTGCGCAGGCTCTTGTTCTGGAACGCTGGAGGCGAACTGCAAGAATGGCAAGAAGGACATCGCCGAGCTTTACAGAGGAAGCAAGTCTGTAGCTGGCGACGCGGGCGGCAACGAATGGCTGCATAAAGCAATGGAGTTAAAGGCGCCAGAGGCGGGCAGGCGGACAAGCGATTTAAAGAGTTCACACTCGGCATTGACCGAAACGGAGCGTCGGTCCTCAAAGACTGCGAGATGATGCACCACGGACGTCACGCACCCACCATGTGCACAGGATTAGAGTTCCGAGGAGGTCGACACATCCGGCGACGAGCAGGAGCCCGAAAACAAGACACGCTTTAGCAAATAGGTTCAATCTGCTCCTAAGCCTTCTTGCACTAAGGGGCTCCTGCTTTGTCATCCCACCCCCCGTTGTTGGGCTCTCGCTTTTAATAGAGCACTGTGGTCGCCGAGGGCTGCTGGGTGGGCCAGCAACTTGACGCCATACGCATATTCAGATTAGACCTCGCCATCCCTGGGGGGCTGCGATCGGCGAAACTGCCGCCACGTTCGAGGGCTGCTGGGGGGTGGCAGCACAGTGACGCGCTTGGTGTGCTTTGGGCCCCCCCCCCCGGGACATGCGTGTTCGTAGTTTTCAATGTGCACGTCTTGTGAGTCAGCAGCGGGGACCTGGAAGTGATTGAAGAACGGAACCCAGAAGCTGTAGAGAAAAGTCGCTCCCCACGATCAGATGGAAACTACAATGGGGGCGCGCATCAAGAAACCATGTGCTCTTCGTCAGGGTATCCTGGGTTTCTTCGCTCCGCGCGCTGCGCGGTGACTTCCCGCAGCCGTTGAAGGAGGTGCTGTATTCAGGGTGCTCGAGGTTTCCCTTCAGGTGCACCTCGCGCGCGGGTTTTCAGGGTTGGGTTTCTTGCGAGGGTTTCTTGCGGCCGCGCCCGCACTGTAATGAAGAGCGAAGCGGCGCAAGCTGGACGTTCCCGACGTGGACGTTCCCGAAGAGCTCCTCGGCGATTTCTGGCGCCAGCGCCCAGGATCTGGACGCAATCAAAGAACGGAACCCAGAAACCATAGAGAAAAAACGTTCCCCACGATCAGATGGAAACGAATGAAGAGCGAAATCGGCGCAAGCTGGACGTGCCTGGCGTGGACACTCCCGAAGAGTTACTCGACGATCTCGGCGCTTGCGTCCAGGGCGAAAGATTGGGAGCAGGCCGGCAGACTCTACCGGCGGCGGCACGGAGAAGTGGGCACGCACAGCCACGATGTCCGCAGAGTGTTGCGGTGTACCACGAAGCGGTGGCCAATGTTATGATACTCCAACCTGCATTTAGCCTTGATCACCAGGAAAAATTTCGAGCACCCCAAAACAATCCCAAGCTGGAGGGTTTTCACTTGGGCCCTGGGAGACACTCGCCCGACACTGTTTCGACACTCTTTCGGCACTTTTCCGGGTGCTCGAAATTATTTCTGGGATGTGGTCCTTAAGTAGAATGGGAACAACATAAGTCTAATGGTTTGAGCTTGACAGCTCGCATGTTGACTGTTGTCGGCGGAGCTGCGAGGCCGAGGGCCAGAGTCAAAAAAGCCAGGCCAACACGAATGACGCCGACGGCACATGTGAACGGCGCGGAGGCGTGGAGAAATCTTATCGTGACCGCACTTGGACGTGCAGATGCCCAAGCCAGAGCGCCACCTACGAGGCATCAGCCCACCTCGTCCCCGAAGCCATCGCGCAGCAGCACATGTACGAGAGTTTCTGGACCTGAGACTCCTCCCAAGTGACTGAACCGCCCTGCAGCCACCCATGAGTGAGGAAGCATGGCCCACGTTCGGCAAAGGGGTTTGCAAGGCTGGATGTTTCGACGGCGGGCAGCCAGGAGGGGAAGAAACACACAGACAGAATTGATCGTCGACTCCGAGGAAAATATAGGAAAACATGAGAAGTGGGGGGAAGACGAAAACCCAGAAAATAAGGGAAAAAATAGGGGAATCATGGGATTTGTGTGTATTGATTTGTGTGTCCTTGGGCCCCTTGAGGCAGGGTGAACAGATCTACGCATCCGGCGACGCCGGCGGAGGGCCCGACGCAGCCAGCACTCCGTTGCGGCTCGCTTGGGCCGAGCTCGACACCTTCACCGACCTCGGCAAAGAGTGGCATGGCCTCCTCTTGCGGTGCAGCGTGGGGAGCCCTGCCAGGCACGAGGCAGACGGCACGGCAGTTCCAGGTGAAGGCATGGTTCTGGTGATCGCGTTGGAGGCGGCCGTCGGGAACGCCGGTTTCTTCGCAGACAGCGAGGGGTCCACCTCAGTTTCTACATTGGACATGTTGAGGCGCCCGCAGGCGCCGACGCAGGCTTAGGGCATCGCGTGCAATTGGCCGCGCGCGCGCGGCAGGGCGATGTGCTCACGCGCGCTCGAGCGCACCAGCGTGCGCACGAGGTTGTTGACGGGAGCCAGATGCCAGCTCTCTTGCACGCGGCAATGCAAGCGCTGATGAGTTCGCGGGCGGCGCGGTACTCGAGGCTCGCGCCCCGGCCGCCTCTAGGCAGCTTTCCGCGCTTATCGAGCATGATTTGTTCTAGTCAGTGTGCGTTCTCCCAGGGCTGCCATCGCGAGTCTGGAGGCCGAGCGATTATCCCACCCAGTGCGCCCCACGGTCCGGAAGCAGAAGCCCAGGTTCCCTGCCCAACCGCCAACCCCCCGCAGCCAGCGCGTTGTTTTCCACCAGGCACGTCATAGATAATGCCAGGCAGAGGCGCACCAGATGTTAGAAGTAGGGGCAGAGAAGCAGAGGAGAGGCAGGTGATCGTTTTTCTATTTATTGTTTTGCTGATCGGCGCGGGCCCCAAAACCCCCCCTTCCCCCCGAGTAGATCTTGGCTGTTTTTGGACCGCCTATTTCGAGCAGGTGCAGTCTCCCCCATAATGGACGCACTGTTGCAAACAGTCGCACTAAGCAGAGGTCCTGAGCCAGACCCCCGCCCCCCTCCCCCCCTCCCTTCCGCCCAATGTCGAAACGCCGAATTGAGAAAACGTGTACCAGAGGGGGCGGAGGAGAGGAAGGAGCCCGAGGCAGGCCGCCGCGCCCGCCACGCGGGCCAAAGTCTGGGCCGCTGTTCTTCTCCCGCGTCCCGTGGGGGGGTCTGGGGGTATTGTTGTTGTGTGTCTCTCTCTCTCTCTCTCGCTCTATCTGTCCCTCCCTTTCTCTCTCTCTCTCTCTCTGTTGTTGGCTTTCTCTTTCTCTCTCTCTCTTTCTCTCCCTCATTTGTGTATTGCCCTGCGTCAGCCATGTGTCCAGTCACTGAGGCATCGCGCGAGTGCACAACGAACGCAAAGTCTCCTTCTATGCTTAGCTTCTATCTTCCAGAGCCACCTTGGACCCTTGACAGTCGTCGTCGTCGTCGTCGTCGTCGTCGTCGTCGTCGTCGTCGTCTGGCGCCCACGCCTTCCCCGAGGGGCCCGACCAGGTTACCGTCGCTAATCCGCGTGCCCCCTCCACCCCCACCTGACGGATGAGGCGCCCACAGGCGCCGACGCAGATTTGCGGCCTCGTGCGCAATTGGCCGCGCGCGCACGGCAGGACGATGTCGTGTTCTTGTGCGCTCGATCGCACCAGTGTGCACACGAGATTGTTGACGGGAAACCAGATAAGCTCGCGGGCGTCGTTGCACGCGAGGCTCGCGCCCCGGCCGCCCTTAGGCAGCAGTCCGTATTTGTCGATCAGAAAGCGTTTCTTGTCAGAGTGCGTCCTCTCAGGGTTGCCATCGAGACTCAGGTCGAGCGCCCAGAGCGCTCCAGGGCTCGGAAGCACAAAGGCAGG